AGGTTTAGTTAATTTATAAAGATTATTGTTCAATTCTTATTACAAAGAGTTTTAAGGTTCAAAAAAATTTTCTTAGATTGATGGCGTGAATATGAAGTAATAACTAATGTTTTAGGTAAGGCTTATTGGGGATTTGGCAGGTTCTTCCTCGAGAGTTGGACGTCGGTAGCGATCGAGGAACAGTCATTACATAATTCGATAATATTAAAACACCATATAATTATGATTTTTAATTTATCAAAATAAAAGGATAAATTATAATTTTGTTCAAAATAAGAAGACCATCATGAGTATTATCCCATAAAATCCAACTGTTGGAATATCATATTAGGAGAAAATTTAGCTTTAGAATTATAGGAGCAACTTATACACACATACACACAAGCTAGCTGAAATTAAAGAACTTGATTGCACCATGGTACTGCTTTAATTATGACAGTCCAATTTCCATAAATGACTTTAAATGATTTTTCATTTGAGTCATTTTAGTGAACAATGAGAAGTGGTTATTTATAGTAACTAAAGAGCAAATTGTGGGAAATAGCCAACTTGATAAGCTTGTTTCAAAAATAACCTTCAATATAAAGTTAGCTGTTTTTATCCAACTTTACCATGGCTTGACAAAAATGCCCTTAAAACTATTTTAGACAAATTAAATGCTCCTAATTTCTCTCTTTTGCCATTCGTCTACTGTGCTCTCCATTGTTCTTTCTTACCATCCAACTCTCCCTAATTTTACCACTATCACCATCTTTCTCTGTTTATCTCTCATCATATCGTCATTGATCAACAGACCAAAAAGCATGGCATAACAAGTAACAACATGTTCTTGGGTTTAACGATTTACATTCATAAAACTCTCTCTTTATTTATCTCTCATCATCTCACCATATCCTCGTCAATTTATAGACCAAAGAGCATGGCGTGGTGAGTAACAATATGTTCTGGGGTTTATTAGTATTAAGCTTTTCAGTGATTCAAGTCTGATAGAACATGCCTTGGTATGTAACATTAGTAGGAAGAAGGAAGCTTTGGCGTGTAATATCTGGTGCTGAAGCTTTGACTTTGGCTTGTAACATCTACTGATTAAGCTTTGGCCTTGGCATATAACATGTTTTGCTGAAGATTTGGTGTCTAACATTTTCTGTTGAATTGTGCAACATCTGTTTGGGCTTGCAGTGTAATTTTTTTTTGTATGTTATTTTTAGCTATTGAAAAGTACAAAAAACTAAGTTTTTGGTTGTGCACTACACTAATGTTTTGGGAATTTTTTTTTGTTTTCAAAGCTACATCTACAAAATAGTAGTTTTTGATATTTGGTAATTATATATATATCTAAAAAAGCCTGACTGAAGGTGAGAGAAATTTTTTTCCTCCAAAGTTGTTAATTCCTTACTCTATTCATCTTTTTTTTAATGAAAAATTTCAGAGTTTTTATTTCTCTACAAATTTTCCTTGAAAAATCAACAATTGGTTTACATTCACAAAACCCAAAAGTTGATTAGTTGAAGTTATAAGTGAAATGAAATCTGCAAATTGGAACACTGCTCAAAGATATTACATGCCATGTCTGCATGTAACAATTCTAATGTACTGGGCATATAACAAATCTATTGAATATGGCATGGCGTGTAACAACAGGTTTTGTACATATCTGCATGTAACAACATTCTTTTTTTTCAAAATAGCGTTTAGCAACATTTTTTTTTGAACTTGGTGTATAACAATAACATTGTTTAAACATGGCATGTAACTTGTGTATTTGTATTTCATTAGAATATTAACTCTTGGAGTTAAACACCTTAAACATGGCATGTAATAACTTTTTTGTTTTCAACATGTCGTGTAATAGTATTTTTTTGAACATGACGTATAATAATTATATTTTTTAAACATAATGTGTAACTTGATCTCTATCTTTATATTTCATTAAGACATAAATTCTTGGAGTGAAACATTTTCATGATAGAGATAAAATTTAAAATAAAAAAGGAATTTAACTTGTAAAAGAAGATGTATTGATTAGTTATTTAAGGTCAACATTACTACTAGGATGAAATGGATTTAGACAAAAAGATATTATCCAAAATCCTTAAATTTGATTAATTAGCTTTTGGGGTTATTTTATTTGTTTCATTTTCTATAACCGTAAAAAAAAAATATGACGTGTAATAACTTTTCCAACCTGGAATGTAATAACACTTTTTCAACACGTGTACTTTAATATAAGAAGGTTTCATTAAGGATAATTTTGTCCAAAAATCATTTCTCTTAACTAAAACAGCTAAAATTAAAAAGATTATTATTTTTGAAAGCACCAAAGAGATGAGGGCTGAAAAAAATCATCCCTTAACTAAATTATTTGTAATAGGTAATAACTTATTGGTTTAGCACCCAAGCATTTAACTCATTAATTAAAGTATAATCTCCTTATTAATGAGTATGAAATCAAATTCCCCTTTCCTAAAAAAATAGCTTATTAGTTTAAGATTTTTTAAAGTAAAGTTCTCTCACCCTTAGTGTGGCTGGTTGGAGGAAAAGAGAAAAGAAAGAAAGAGAGAGAAAAGAAAATATTTCCTCCTATTTTTTTTCTTTTTTAATTTCAAGACAGATAGATAAAAGGAAGGAAAATTGATGAATTTGTACTTCTGACTTCTCCGTCCAAATCTAATAGTGGAAGGAAACAAAACTCATTGAACTTCAGTTAATCGTTTTATTTATAATTTTAATTTAACTTCTTTCACTTTAATGTTTCATACCTCAAATATAACCAGGAAAATCAACTTTCCTTCCCGTCGTTCACTTTTCTACTTCACCTTTTCTCTTCCCTGCTGCATTTTCCTTCCTTCCTAGCAAGCATAATGGAGAAGATCAGGCAAACTTTGGCCATGTTGGAGATAAGAAAAACTCTCTCAATTTTCTTTTGAAGCCATCAGCAATAATCCTTAAAGCCGAGGAGTTCCAAGCATAATAAAGATACGAGGCTTAATTTACGTAGTGACCTTCTAAAAGAGTATCGTTGAGCTAGGGGCTTCGTTGTCTAGCCACAGGGACTTACAATAACATGAGAGTAGAATTGAAAAAGAATGAGAATCTGTGAAAGTCAGTCTCTTCCTAGTTTAAGTACCAACCGAGTACCAACTAAACTAACTATACGTTAGCACAGGTGGCTATGAATATACTAACATCAAACAAAACAATATATATACAGATATATATGCTTAATTATTTAAATTTTTCTAGTATTTCCTTCTAATCAATGGTCGCTTTCGGCATTTTTAGCAGAATATTCAAGATTCAAAACTTGATTATTTGTCTAAAACACTACAGGACTGCTTCTCTTATCCATGAACTATCCATAGGTAAAACAGAAAAAAACAAAAAAGAAACCCTTGCGGTCAATAGAACTTGAATGTTTTATCATCTTAATATTTTATATTCAAATAGGTGATTTGGGTTTGCAAGTTGGAAGTTTAAGCCTATAATGGTACATAAAACCATGGTCGAAGGGTAAACCTAAACAAGTTGGGCTTCATTACTGAACATATTATTGTTCTCCGGTGTTGACTTTTGATGCATAGAATAGAGGGAAATTGATTTCATAATTTCTTTTCATGTGGTAAGCATAAGCTGAATTAGAGTTTTTTTTTTTTTTTGAACATTGACCAAACTATAGAATAGACCTCAATAGTCTATTGCCAATCTCAATAATGAGAATTTAAAAGGGATGAAAAAAGGGCAGATAGAAGAAACAATGGATTGAAGAAAAGGACTGCTCAGAGGAAAAATCAATGCCATACAGAGTAGGGAAGCTCAATCTTCCCTTGGATGGCCGAAAGAATAAATAACCACACCAGCTTCTAATTGACAGTTGATATCTGACGATGGTCTCTAGCTGATCAATCCAACTAAGATTTAAACAGTAAATTACAAAGTAAGAATGAACCAAAGAACCGTAAGAAAAAAATGAAAAACTATGAACATGAAACAATTGACCATTATTTGCAAAGAGAAGAAACTAAAGCTAGAACTCTCTACTTCAAGTACCCCAATTCCTTCACACCTTTCAGTAATCTGGAAGCCCTTTCATAAATTCTAGCAGAGAAGGTGAGTTCAAACCCAAGGCTGGGGACACAATTTCATTGTCAGCAAACTTATAAACCGGCCTCGGAGAGCAGAAGAAATCTACCGAATTCGGGGTGAAGAGACCTATATCAGCAAAAAACGGATTTGGAGGACTGGTAATTGGCGGAACAGAAGACAAACTGACATTGTTAACATCATCACCACCAACACCAAAACCACCGTTTTCATCTGTAAGAGCGGAAGATGAGTCGTTATCTTCCTGTCTATTACGAGCAAGCTCCATACTGATATTTCCTTCCAAGGATGAAATAGAATTACCCTTGGCTTTGTCCTTCCGTAGTTTTGATGGCGCAGTTTTAGTAACCTCATCAGACCTTGAAAACCCTGTAAGCTTTTGCACCAATGCCATGAAGTCCCGAGCCTGCGTGTGGATAATCTTAGGCGAATGAGTGTAAATGATGACTGGACCCTGTCGCTGCTGCTGCTGCTGCTGGTGCTTGAGAGGGGCAGCCGCAGCCTGAGACACCACCAAACCAGAAGATTTTTGAATGAAATGAGAGTTTTTGTTGATCTTCAATGGGGAAGGACGGAGGCCGTTGATCATCAGATCTCTCCTGGGAGGACGTGCATGAAAATCTACAGGGCTCATCGTTGAATGAATAGATAAATTCTCGATGGGATGGATGAAAAAACCGAAACAAAAGCAGAGAAAATTAAAGAAGATGCGTACAACTTGACAAGGAGCAAAAGCGAACAATTTGAAGAGTGCTAAACAATGGAGAAAATGGTTGTTAGAGACAGACAGGGAGAGAGAACCAAGTATTGAGATAATATATATAGACAGAATAAAAGGGTAGCTGCGGAGAGAGGGGAATATGGGTGTAAAGCCAGCGATTCTGACCGTTGACGAAGCCGAAATATATATACGCCAACATGTGTTCGAGTGTGGGCAAATGACTTTTAAATAAATTGTCAAAAGGCATATGTTTTAATAATCTTAGTTTATTTTGTTTTCTTTTGTTCCCAGCCAATTCGTCGGCGGCTAACGACGGCGCAGCTGCCGGGGCAGAGTATGAGTATTTGGAATCCCTACTCTTCCTGGCTCATGTACTTATCTCTTCGGACAATCAACGAGCTGTCCATAAAATCTGAGTCTATTTTCTTTTCCCTGTGAGGGGGACCATACCCGCTTCGAAGAGTATATATATATACTCTTTAGATTGGTGGGTTGGGGGCAAAACCTTAAAACCAGCAACATAGTTTTTCATAATGCTTAAATAAGTTTATAAATCATTTAAAATTTTTGAAATAAATATTTATTTTTTATTACATTTAATTAAATTTTTATAATTTTATTTTAAGTTAAATAAGTCTTAATAATTTAGAATAAATTAATTATCGTTAGTTAAAATGTTATTTTTTATTTTATATTCACATAATATTAACATGATGTTGATGTGACAGATTAACAATATCAGATGGTCGCGAAATCATGCCAAATTCGCATAACTCATAAGTTAATCATGTCATGATCAATATGATATGTTAGCATGTCATACCCTCATCAATTATGATATATTAATATGTCATATTAATATCACGTGTTTTAAAATGATAAATAACATTTTAATTAAGTCAATCATTAGTCATAATAATTTATTCAATTCAAAATAAAAGTATAAAAATTTATTTTACTTAAAATAAAAATATAATAGCTTGATTGAATGCTTATTTAATTTTTTTTAATAGTTTAAGAGGTTTTTTTTTTCTGGGATATTACCCCGCATAGTTTTCATATTCAAAAACAATAAATACAAGCCAAAACTACATAATTTTAGTATTGACAGATTTGCATACAACAAATGCAGAATAATTTGATTTTAACTAATTTTTAATATTTCAACTTTAAATTAATTGAATGTTAATAAATACAAATTCCACTTTTACTTAAAGCGAAGCACAAATGCAAAAACATACAAAATTTTCCATTCTTTGCATTAAAATAAATTGGATCCTCCATTTATATTTAAATATTTTTTTAAAATGATATTTAATTAAGATATCAAACTTTATGTAAAAAATATTCAGGCAACGTGTGGGCACATGGCCAGTTTAATTTATAAATTCAAATTATAAATTAATTGACTATCAATTCAAACTTTATGTGGTGTGTGGTGAATTTAACCCTTCGGCCTTTAGTCTTATTTTTCTTTGTTTACAAATGATATTCTCTAAAGTTTGCAATTATAAACACTTGATTATCGAAACACTTTGGCTTCATTTAATTGATATTTTTACTATTTTCTTTTTAGTTTTTTTTTTAAATGAATAAAGACAAAAAGTAAACAATTAAAGAGATAATAGAAACTAAAAGACAAATAGTAAAAAGTGATTAATAAAAACATCGATTAAATCCATGTCTTTATAAAACCAAAAGTTATTAAGTATTTAAATATATGCATTTCATAGGTGAATAATTTGTTATTGCTACATACAAGTTTTAAATGAAAACTTTTTTATATATGCTTGTATTTAATTAACTTAGGTCATTCTATTACATCAATCCACGCTAAGTACCTAGATGCTACAAAAAAAGAACTTTTGCTTGAGCTTAGAATTATAATATTTTTAGAAAATTTATGAAGAGCAATTTGAAGTTTATGCATGGGAGGAGAGGGTATGTTTTCAATTTGGAAGTTCAAATTCTAACCATTGCGAGGCTCAAATTCTAATGAATGATATATGGTAATAAAAAATATAAACTTAAAATTTTATTTTTAAGTAATTCAAATTCAAACCATTGGGTTGTACTTCTAAAAGAAATTTATTTTGTTTCTTTTTTTTATTATTTTTTCTCTAAAAATAGTTATTTTCTTTAATCAAATTAATGAGGTACGTGAGTGTGTTAAACACGGAATTTGTTTCAACTATCAAAAAGTACAAATTTGTTGTGTAGTCCATTTGCTAGGGGGGAAGAGACAATTTTCATTTAGTGGACAAAGACGGCGTGCCTCAAATTGGTAGCAAAGGATAAGATTGAACTTTGGGGTCAGTTATGGCTCGCCCGCATGTGGCTAGCTTAATTACTTCAACAGTTGAATGCGTCGAAAATTTTATAGCAAAGAGGAGTATTATCATCTGAATTTTCTACTCCATTTTAATTGAGGTGACCAATTTGAACTTTCTTTTTTTACTTGAACAAATTAAAATTAGTTTAGTTGAAATATTTGGCGTTAACATCTCGAAATGGAGTTTATTGAAAAACCATTTTATACTAAGAGGAGTTTTTTAATAAAATTACATATACTTGTATTGATTACAATTTTCAAAAATAACTTTTAACATGCGTCTTGTAAAAAAAATTCAAAGTAAATGTTTTGTTTTTTTCTTTTAACTTTTCCAAAGTTTGAGAATAGTAAATTTCATTTTTACTTCTCAAAATGTGGAAAAGACAAATTAATGAATAGTTTAATTTAATCATTTTTATGATTACATTAACGAACTTAAAAGTTAGATTGATCAAAATCTAGGTAATAAACAATCAAGAAACTTAAAGCAGGAAAATAATTGTAAACAGAGAAAACAAACAATATATGTGGTTCAGAAACCCACTCTTTATGTCCACAAGCACTGTAAAGAAGAAATTCACCATCAAAGATTTAAGATTACAATGGACAAAATACCTAAAAAGTCACTCACAACCAATCTTATATCTTTAGTAACTCCTGTAGGATGTATTCCCCACTCTCGTGATGGTGGCTACACAATCCAGCCCCCAAAAGTGCCTTTTACACTAAATTTAGGCAAGCCCTACAACTAGTATTGGTTTCAAAAATAAAAGACATGAATAGGGGTTAAGACTCGAGACATAAAACCCGTGAAATCTCTATGTACATTGCTTGCATTCTCTAAACGAATTCCTTCGAGAAGCAATTTCGTCTGTGCTTGCCACCCCACCATAGGGTCACCGAGATCCATGAGAAGTCACCAAGCTTAAGCCTAAGTCCAAGCATGCCTTGAGAAATAATTATAACGCATCTCGCCTCATTCTCACTTTGCTTCTTACTAAGGGCAACTTGTTTGTGCATCATACTAACAAACACCACATGCCTTGACCACCAAGAGACAAAGAACACAGAAGTCCCACACTACTACACATTGTCCCAAGCTCCACCTTCTTTCTAACTCTATAGTCTAATTATGTAAACAACTCCTTGGTTACCTCCTTGGTCTTTCATGCTCTTATCACACTTGGAACTAAAAAGTACCTTACACTGCAATCGTTTGACACCGAATGGGTACTCTAAAAATATGGTCTACGTTCTTTCATCAAGTTTACCATCCATCAGTTGAACCAAAGAACCATAGTAATTTTCATCGGAAAAACTCAGCCAACGACTAAAAGTTCCAACAACCATTGCGCTAAATGGAGATCAACCAACATAGTATGAATACGTAGTTTCAACTGAGAAAAAAAAACAATAAAACAAGAGAATAAGCAGTTTCAACTCTAACTCATATCAATTTACTTAGAGTAACAAAGCTAATGCATACTTGTTAATGATTTTACTACGCAAGTTCACGTATTGCTAACAAGTACTATAACAAAGAGTAGAGTATTGTTCCCACAAGAATTTATTATCAAAATTTGTTAATTACTTAAATTAAAATAATTTAATCTTATCCAAACACACAATTTAAAATTATGGAAAAAAATAAAAATATAAAACTAGCAATAAGAAAGACAATTTAAACTAGAGAAATCAATAAAAAAAAAGCTTAGGTTTACAATTTCCCTTAACACTTCATTTGAATATCTTCTATTCTCTCATAACTTACTAAAGGGAATAAGTTGTTAACCCAGAGTATCTTCTGATGTTCTTATAAAAATATCTCCTTCAACCAATTCACTATATTTTTATGTAAATTGAATCCAAGAAAGATTCATTAATCTTAGATTCTAATATTGGCTGCATATGATATGTAAGTATATTCTTATCTCACATGTGAAACAAATCGTTCAATCAGTTAAATGAATTTGAACATATGCTATTCCATCCATAGATTACACTAAATTGCCTTTTCCAATTTTATTTAGGCTACTCAATTAATCTAATTGGTGATCAGTCAATTAGACGCATTAAACACAAAATTGGAATAAAAACTCAACTACGATTAATCATAAGAAAAAGAGAGTATTAAAAATCCAAACTACATGTTGAGTTCAATTGCAATTTGAGGAAAATAAATTTAGCTTATCAAACATATTGAAAACATAATTTAAAGAAATTTAACGATAAATTACAATACAAGAAAAACTAAGAGGAAACAGAGAAGAAAAGGAAACCTGAGAGTTTTTGGATTTTAAATCTTTCAATCTTTCAAGGTCTTTTTAACATTCCTATATGCTTGACAGCTACTTTTCCTTTAGAGAAACCCTAGTTCAAATGTGCCTTTTAAATATTGCTCTAAAGGTGCCTTTAAATAAATTAAAAAAAACTACTTCGAATCAAATCTGAAAAAAAATTTGAAAGAGATATCGTGTTGGCACTGCAGCCTCCACTTTTTGGCATCACGGCACCATACTTGCTATCCCATGTATGGCTGCATCATTTCTTGGTGCTGCAGTGCTAACTTTTCCATGGCTATAGTGCTTAACTCTTGGGTACCATGCTTCTTAAGCTCTCCTCATGGTGTCACGGCACCCATTCTTCCAAAGCTATGGCGCTCGTTTGTTGATTTTTGTCTCTTTTTGTGTTTCTTCATGATTTGAAACTCCATTTCATTGGCACTTAAATGAAAAACATCCAAACTAAGTTA